ATATTAGTGCTTTCAGTTTAACACTTTATTATCGGCATTAATTTAGAACAATTTTAACTCGATTAAATTTTTTTTTATCGCGAGATTAATGCGGCACCATGTCACGGCGGATGTTACGTTGCTCTCAAATAATCAAATGTGCTCCACGTTTGAGTAACTGCTCCAAGTGAAAAAATGTTCAGCGAAAATTGAAAATCAAAATTGTTGTTTCAGTCAATATTTGCATATTGCACAAAGAAAACGGATCCAAGATTCCATGTTGATGAGAGCATTAAAATGGGAAAAATAGGAGAAAAAGAAATCAAAGGAAATTTAGAATAGATAAAAATCTGTGATTAATTAGGGCTAATATCGAGTTAACTATGAAATTTGATCGCGATTAAATATTTTAATCGTTTGACAGCACTAATATATGTTTGTGTGTGTGTGGGTGTGGGTGTCTATAAAGCAAGAAAAATACACAAACACATCAGGGACAACAACCCACAAAAACACAGAACCAAAGCAGACAAATATTAAATGGGTGTAGATATTTCTGAAAAGCAAATACACATCCACACATGGGAGCGCATCCAAAATCTGGCGCAGATGCACATGTCAAGGCACACGGCAACATTTTCTGTCCGAGGAAAAACCGCTTCAGTTCTTGACGTCAAATCAAACGCATCGCCACGGATCCTCCGTGAACGGCGTGCAGGCTCAACATGGCGGTCCTCTACGAGCACGCGTCTTTTGCACGTGACCGCATCTGAACATTTGTTGGCGTCAGGAGGTCGGGCACGGTTCCTGCGTGCCATCCACCCACACACAAAGCAATCACGTTTCCCTCGGACGCTCGTCAAAGTGTTTCCGGAGCCTTCGCTTGCCTTTGTGTTCTTCCCTCACCTCCTCTTTCGTCCTCGCTCACGCCTCGTCCGCCGTCCGCCGGACTCACCTGCAGCCCTTCATTTTCACCTGCCAGTCAAGCACGCCCAGTCATGTCGTGACGCACGTACGGTATCTGTTGGGTGAAACCTCCGCGTGCGATGCACATGGCAAGACGCTTCATCTGTCGCAATCTAAAAGCAATGAAAAATAACTGTCGAGATGTACCCCCGACTCATTCTTTTGACTGATATGAAGATTTGAATCATTGGCAGCTGTTGTCATTCAAAAAGTTTTTTAAAAATCGTCCTGTCCGCCACAGGTTGAATGCTACGCGGTCATCTGTCCCAAATGAAATTTCACGATTGAGGATGCGAATCATTTTCTGGAGATGTGAATTACATTTTGGGGAAATTTTGCACTATGATTTAAGATGACCTTTCCGTGGACACTGACACAAATTTATCTTGGTGTTTTGTTAAAAAAAAAAAAAAAAAAAAAAAAAAGCGTGTCTGTCACTCAAAAGCTGTCTTGACTGCTCATGCCACTGCAACATTTTTCTGTTTGCGTTTCATTTTGCAAACAGTAAAACAAGTGAATAAAGACAAGAGTGTACAACCCCACCCCCCTATGCCAGAATTGTCCAGCCGCCCCGCACCCTCCCCGCTGCCAGCACGGCTACTTTCTTGACGGTATTGACAATTGAAAGGGCGCGCCCTCATAAACCAGCGAGCCAGGCCACGTGAGGGCCCCCCCGTGCGCCCCTCTTCTAAAATATTCCCGCAGGCTGCGAAAAAAAAAGCGGAGAGCGTGGGAGCCGGAGAGCGAGCGAGAACGAGAGCGCCGGCCTATTGACTCGGGCCTCTTTCATGAGAGTGCAATAAAATCAGCGCTATAATGAATCCTCTCCTTTGACCCTTAAAGTCTTTAGCGTTGTTTTCTAACGTGGTTTTCAACTCGGCGGTTTCACCGTGTTCACGTTTGTTGCCGAGGCGACGCCGTTTGGCTTCAGCCCCGCGGCCATGGAGCCCGTCTCCCGGTTTTCAGGAAGCCGCGCTCACGTTGTCGCTTGTTCAAAATCGATTGCTTGTCTGACGTTTCCGCCGGCAACTGGTGCTCGCGAGAGTCGATTCAAGTCGTGGAGAAAATATTGCAGCAAAAACCCGAGTCTGAAAAAAGCCTTTCAAAATGACAAAGGTCTAGGTCTAGGTCTCTCTCTCTCTCTCTTTTTTCTATCTATCCATCAATCATCCTTATTCCGACTTTCCGAGTCAAGGTGAAGACATTGCAGCAACAATTAGTGTCAGAAATGGGATCCAATCACTGACCGACCCCACGAAATGTCAAAGACACCACTTGATGTTTCCAAGTGTTTATTCCAGAAATACTCGAAAGACACTGAAACAAAAATTGGTGTCGGAAGTGGAATCCAAGGATTACCCCCGTCCCCACCTAATTAACATGAAGGCAATTCTGTTTTTCTGGGGTGTTTATGGCAATTTGGAAAATATTGCCACAATAATTGGTGTCAGAAGTGGGATCTAAGGAATAACCACCCCTTCAAAGTGACTAAATGAAATACTTGTTGTATTTTGGGGATGTCTACAGTCATAAGCAAAAAAAAAAAAAAATGCTGCATCAATTGTATCCATTCTAAAGATTAATCGTCCCGAAAAACTGATCTTAAGATTTTTTTTTCTGGGGTGTTTATGGTAATGTGGGAAATATTGAGGGAGTGAATGGTGTCAGAAGAGGGATCCAAGCATTTGGCATCCTCACACAAAATAACAAAGCCAACTTCTGGAGTAATCTGGAAATTTGAGCCACTGAAATTGGTGTCAGAAATGGCATCCAAAGATTTACCAGATCTGCAAAACAACAAATTGACAAATTCTACTGTTTATCTGTGATTCAGACAGTAATATAGAAAGCACAAAACCAACAATTGGGCCAAGAAGTGGGCTCCAGAGTGCAAACAGCGGGCAGAAAACGCGCCGGCGGCGAGAAGCCTGATGGGGTTAAAGGAAGGTGAGTCATCGAAAGGATGTACTGGGGTGCGGGCGAAGTGAGGACAGGTCGCCGAAATAAGCAGCGCCCTCTCTCTTGAGAGCGAGATGACTCAAAGTGAAAGCGACAGCCACGCTGGGAATAGCGGCGATGATGTCATTAGTCCGAACAGCGCCACTCTTCTTTTTCATCTTCTGACCTTTTCAGGACGACTTCACACTCGCCATCAGATGCTACGTCAGCGGTGCCCAATCCAGTCTTCGAGAACCCGGCCTACTTTTTGATGCCTCCCTCCTCCAACACGGCGGATCGAAATGATGAAGATTGTGAGCAGAATTCTGCAAAGATAAGCTGGTCCTTTGAATCGCATGTGTTGGAGGAGGGAGATGTCTAAAACAGATTGGATAGGGGTTCTCGAGGACCGGATTTTGGCACCCTTGTCCTGCGTCAAGCACGGCATATGCTCAGTGGTGCCGCTTAGGTTTTGTTCCACCGTTACGACGACAACGCTACCACAAGGCACGTTTGTCCAATGTACATTGCTGCCATCTACTGGACTAACATTGGAAGTGGAACCATTTTGTCGAGACGGATTTTAGAATTATCGATGTGCTTTTTTGCTGACAATCTCCATAATACGATTTAAAAAATAACATGTGAAGTCAGTGAACATTTGGTCGTTTCTCTTGAATACCGACGCGACGCTTTCGTCAATAACGATACATATTCAATTTATATCGATTCAAAAAGTGTGAGCGCGAATGGTTTTGCGACATACAGGTCTCGTTTCCGGCAGCCACGGTAACGATTATAGAAGTACGTTCAAAAAAAATTAAATATCGCACAAACGTTAGTCGACCAAAAGCTGACGGGACTTTCATACTCCTCCTTCTTGAGGTCGCCAGCGTGTTGGAAAAACTTCATATTTAAAAAGATCTCCGTCATCGCTGTCAACACTCGCGACAGTTGGTTTGCGGCAAACAGGAGGGATTTTTTTTTTTACGCGCTGTAGCCAAGCTAGGCTGCAGCCCGGCCAACAAGACAACTTAAAAAAGCTAGCATAGCTCGCCACCACCAGACATCGAATAAACGTCTCAAAGAGGACGACGCCGCAGTGAACACGGTACGTCGTTTTAATGTTCAAACGTGTAATTAAACGACCAATGCTACTTAATTTACTTTGGCAGTGAATGGCGGTGCCACTTGGGACACATTCTAAAGCGGTCCGAACATCCACTCGCTTTGTCTGCTCGATCATTTTGGCGTCATTTTAACATACAACGTCTCAAATGTGGCCGCAAGGGTTTGCGGACACTTGTACAATGTTAGACGCGGTCCAAACACAAGACCTGCATTCGAAAGTCTGCCTTTTGATTCCACCATCGTGTCCATTGGTCCATGATTCAGTGCGTCTTTAATTAATCCTCCTGAAATAATCAGAGGTAGCGAGAGTAGCCCAAAATCGTGCTCAAGTATAACCAGCCCATTCTCTCTTTGGAATACTGTACGGTAATATGACTCAATTAACAGTAAAAAGAAGCCCGCCAAATATTGACCTGAGTCAAAAGTAAGTGGCCAATGACGTGACAGAATCGATGCAAGTTTGAAGCTTTAGGCTTCAGAAAAGGACCCAGGGGGCCTAAATCCGCAGGATGGGATGGACAAGGGCCACTGGGACCAAACGCCCTCACTTCTGTGTTCTTTTCTTTGAAATTCCGTGCCGTCCAGGTCTTGATTGCCTCCAGACGGGATAAAAGTGCCCCCCATTTTCTGCAGCAGGAAATACTCAAACAATAAATAATTCTCCCGAAGCGTCCATCCATTCTTGCTCAGTGTAATGGGGTAAAAGAAGCTTTTTTTCCTTTGCAAAAACACTCAAGTAAAAATTTCAAGAAACGTTGCATTAAAAGAACTCTGAAAAATGCAAAAGTCTCTTAAGCAAATGTGGTGCGCTCTTACCTTTCTCTGCTCTACTTTGGGATTAGTTTGGAGATGCAAAACCCATTCACGCTTAATGTTCATCTCTTAAATTGATGTGAAGGTCTGTGTGTCTGACTGTGACGCACCAAATACAACGGGAGTTAGTTGGTGTTGTTTGTGACTTGTTGGCTCGAATTTGGCTTCTAGAGATTCTTAAAATGGACTGCGACGAGAACACCACCGTGTTTTCCACCATGAAGTCCTTCAACTCCTTCATCGACTGCACCGGACGTTCGCCCCAGCTGCCGGGGCCCTCAGCGGCGGCCGCTACCACCCTACAGAACCGGTACAAACGCAGCATGGAGGTATGCGAAGACACGCCAACACTCGTAAGTACGCGATTTGCATTCATGACGCGTCTTCCCAACGTTGTTAGTTGTTAGAAGCGGCCGAGAAGGTCCAGTCGCACAGTCGCTACCTGAAGCTGGACCAGGAGAAGAAGCAGATGGAGTTCAGTCACAAACGTGTTCGTGTGGAGCTTGAGAAAAGTGCCAGTGACACTGCGTGCAACTTGAAGGTAGCGCGCACCCTGCGCCTCGCTCATTCGTTCCTGTGGCTTTCAGCAAAAAAAGGTTTATGTTGGTTTTTGGAATGAAGTGATACTCCCCACATTAGTTCAATTAGTCAACGTTTACATTTTAAGACAAAGTCAAGTCCAGTCCTGTAATTTTTGAGGAACGTTGTTGTAAATTTCGTTTTATCATATGCATTTTACTTCATGATTTATTTATCAAGATCTTTTTTTCATGATTTATCAAGGAGTTTTTCCAGTAAACAGAAACAGAGTAATCCAAGCAGCCAGCAGCCCAACTTGAAAACAAAATAAATACATATTTTTTCTTAATATGACCTCGTTGAAACGAGGAATCGTGTTTCACTTTTAAATGTTTTGGGCGAACGAAAGTTTAAAGTGCAACTGTATTTCTATTTTGCCCGTAGCAACTGGAGGAGAAGAAGAGTGAATTGACGTCGCGGCTCAAGAAGTCGGAGGAGCGTGAGACGGAGCTCATTAAGACGCTGGCGCAGCAAGTGGAGGCCAACCGAGAGATTCGCAAGAACCTGGAGAGCCTCGGCAAAAAGCTGGATGAGCGAGACGCCCGACTCGACGCTGCTAACCAGGTACGTGGAGCCGAACGAACAGACACAGTCCATTTCTCATGCCTTTCCTTTCCATGTGCTTCCTACACCGAAATAAAAAATAGTGCAGCAACAACCGGCATCAGAAGTGGCATTCACTGGTTGACCGACCCCATAAAATTGCATTCCGACCACTCCTAATGTGTTCCAGGGCTTATTATGGCGATGCTGCAACTGTTGCCAAAGCAACTGGCTTCAGAAGTTGAGTGCAGTGATTAATCAGCCCCACAAAACATCATCACGTCAACTCCTGGTGTTTCAGTTTTTATGACAATCATTAAAAATTTTTTTTCTTTATTTTTTTGCCCACAGCAAATGGTGTCTGCAATCGGATATGTGGATTGAGCAGTCACACAAGTCGTTCAATCAATGATTCTTTGCGCATTGATAATTTTCCAGTTTGAGTCCTGCGGGACTCGCTGATCAGAAAAGTCTGAGTCCCATGATGCATTTGGAGCACATATGTCAAAAGTGCCGGCCCGCGGGCCGCATCCGGCCGGAAGGTTTTCAGTGGCCCCTGGGATGATCTTGATTTATTATTAGAACCGGCCTGCAGACCGCAGCAAGCCGGCAGCCCGCAGATCTTTTACACACACCAATACTACATTTCCCACAATGCAACGGTGACATATATTAGTGCAGCAGTCGTTCACATAACAGCGACGTTAGCTTTCAGATACCCATCAAAAATGGCAAAACGGAAGGTGGACACTGAGAACCGGAGGTTTCAAACAAGGTGGGAGTCGGAGTACATGTTTACGGACATAGCTAGGAAAACCTTGTATGTCTTCTGTGCGGAGAAAGTGTGGCGGTATTGAAAGAGTGTAATCTGAGATGACATCATGAAACGAAACGCGCGAGCACAAACAAGAATATGGACATCGAACAAAGGCTACAGAAGGTTGAGGAATTAAAACGAAGCCTAAAATCTCAACAGGCTCTGTTCAAAAAAGCCAAATCACAAAACCAGGCTGCTCTCACAGCCAGTTTGGCAGCACATACCTGTGTGAACAACTTTTTTTTTTAATTATTTTTTATTTATTTATTTATTTATTTATGATGAAGCTGAACAAAACCTCACACAGAAGTCGACTTACTGCTGAACACCTTCACTCAATTTTGAGAATTTGCTCAGCTCAGAGCCTGACCCGGTTTTGACCAGTCTTACAACCTGAGTAGACCTCAAAATTGTTTTTGTGGATTGGGAATGATATGCCTGTATTTTGTCCATATTTAAAATTTGTCGTCCATCTGGTTAAGAAGTGCGTAGTCACATTGTGGCCACAGTCCAAAACTGTGGCCCCCCTCCAGCATTTAGTGTATATGATAGAAAGTAGCTCCACAACAAGCGGGGTCAGAAATCGGCGACACGTGTTGACCCAGCCCCTCGATACTCCCGAGAAACAACTTTTGTCGTTTCCCCACATGTGTTGTCAGACCGTCATCAGCCTGAAGGACCAGATCCGAGACCTTAAGCAGAATCTTCAAAACCAGGACTCGGTCATTTCCACTCAGAAGTTGGAGAAGCAGGCGCTGCAGGAGCAGCTGGATTTACAGCGCAGGTATTCCTTCCCGCAGCGAGCAAATGGCCACTGGAATGTCAAGGAAGCGCTTTCCCCTGATTGGTCCTCTTCTACCAGGAAGTACCAGGAAGTGTCCGAGCTGTGCCAGAGTCTGCAAGCGGCGCAGTTGTCCTGCTCGGATCACGTCATCAAGATCAAGGTACACATGCGCACATATAAGCCAGCTTTTGCAAACGGCTGCCATTTTGTGTGTCTCTCCTCCCTCCTACCGCAAGGAATTGGAAAGGCGTCTGTCCCTTCAGGAGCAAGACTTCGCCATTGTGAAGAATGTCAAGTACGAGGCCAGCAGGGTGCCTGACCTGGAGAAGGAGCTCAAGCGCCTTCGAGAGGAGAACATTTTCCTCAGGTCAGGCTTACTTTTTCAGAGTCTGTCCATTTATTGGATCAAAGGGGGGCCCTTTTGGTCAAACAGGATTGCTGCCAGATTTGTTCAACATACAGTGGAAAATTCAAGTCGTGTCGTCGTAACAAGTTGGCATGATGGCAACGAGCCAGCAAGAAAGTGTCCACGCAACACTGAGGAGAAAGTTTTGAATCATTGACAAGGAACATGAAGTGCATCATGACGGCATGTCTACTTTGCATCGGCATGTCTACTTTGCACCGCATTGATTCCTGGGCAAAAAAAAAAAAAAAACGGAGAAAAAGTGCTTTTTGTAAAAGCATGCATTTCAAGCACGTGAGGCATCACTGCCACCTACTGGTCGCTTTTTTTTACATGATTTACAATACATACAAGCGGCTTATTCTCATTGACAGATTGCATCAGACCCTCCTCCTCTCTACGACGCAAAAAAAAAAAAAAGACTTGGACGTACAAGTTCGTCTTGTGGAATTACACAGTTAATAAGCACATTCAGACCCAAGCTGCCGATGGCCACAACTCACGCTGACTCACGTAACACTCCAAATGGCTAATGGGTTAGCAGCCAGCCAACTCTACACTCTCACTCAGCGACGCCCACATCACTCACCAGGTCCCGTCTTGTAAAGTTATGCAGACACCTGTCAAGTCACAGATACTACAGGAGGTTGGAGAAGGCGGCACAAATAATACCCGCACCTCATAGGCACATATTGTGTTTCATAATGCTTCCTAAATGGAACCGTGAACACACGCCGGATGTGACATATCGTGTGATATGGCAGTGTCGATGACGTTGTGAATACAGGGAGAGCAGGGAGAACTGCAGCCTGCTGAAAGAAGAGACAGAGGGCCTGAAAAGGAAGCTGGAGCGCATGGCCAAGACCAAAGAAGATCTGATCAATGTGGAACTGGAGAAGGAGGTACAGTACCCCCCAAAAAAGTTCAACCTGGCCTTTGGGGTCATTTTAGAGGCATGAGTTGCTACGTTATTTATTCGGCACTTGGTTGTCTTGGTGTGATTCTTCACCACGCAGAGGTTGACAGAGAAGGTCAGAGCATGGGAGAACCTCGGCCAATCAACCGGACTCAACATCAGGTCAGTGTGTGTGCTAGCGAGCGCGTCTACGTAAGAGCGTGAGTGCTTTTTTTCCCTCCAATGGCCCTTACCGTTGTCATGTCACAAGAGACCTGTAGATGGAGCTGTGGTAATTCTCCAAAACAACTGTTTCAAGGACGACTTTTTTCCAATACTGTGCATTGGTGTGTGTGTGTGTGTGTGTGGGTGTGTGTGTGTGGGTGTGTGGGTGTGTGTGTGGGAGTGTGTGTGGGAGAGAGAGAGAGAGAGAGAGAGAGAGAGAGAGAGAAAAAAATAGCTGCGTGGTGTTTGTCTTAATGCTCTCCAGTCCAAACAGGTAATGAGAGAATGATTGCATGTTTCCTTTTGAGCAACCGAGCAGATCTGACAGATGATAAAACACTGCGAGTTGCCCTTGACGCGCGCGAGCGCACGCACACTCAGCGCGCCGCTGTGATTAAGTGTGACAGTGATGCAAACAGAATGCTAAATGGAACATCGCCTCGAGGTGTTTAGCTTGACTCGCGCTCGTGGTGAGCAGGCAAAAAAGAAGATACACGGTATTAACTTTTAATTGACTTGCACCTTGTTGATGCGTTTCGTCAGTTACTTCTCATGTCACGAGAATGACATGTCACTATCACGTTTTTTTTTTTTTTTTTACTTTCCGTGTTGTTATCCATAACTAGCGCTGTCAAGAAATTACAAAAATTGAGAGATGAATGAATTGTGCGTTGTCATGAACCTCTATTTGAATCTTACTGAAGAGTTGCTGAGAAAAGCCTTCAACCGGAGGTATTTCTATTGCAGGGGTGTCAAACTCATTTTTTGTCACGGGCCACTGTTGAGTTACGTCTTCCCCCGGAGGGCCGTAATGACAGTGAAACCACAAACAAGTTTAATCGCATTATTACTTGTAAGGGTAACAAAATTATTGCAAAATCTCAACGTCATTTATGACACATGACAATTTGACATTTTCGGTACTTTTTTTTTTTGATGTTTTTTTTTTTTTTTTTTTTTTAGCAAGGATCATGCAAGTTGACACACCTGATTTTCTTTCAGGGGGCCACATAAAATGATGTGGCGGGCCAGATCTGGCCCCCGGGCCTTGAGTTTGACACCTGTGTACTATTGAATTAATTGATTGATATACGAGAAGAAGAGTGGCTCCTTTGTTTGTTTGTTTTTTAAGAGACCAGAACAGCAGCAGTCCTAGCCATTTACGTTCGGCTGTATATGCGACTACAGTAATCCTGACATTTTTTTGCCGTTAATGGGGAAAAGAAAGCCTGCACGAAAGGCTTGTCGCAACAATAAAAGTTACAATTTGCCGTAGCCTACAGCAACGACTAAAAGATCTCAATCCAACGCAAGCATATATTTGACAATAAAGTTGTACTTGACTTGAAGTAGCACCAAGCATAAGGTCGCCACAGTCAAGCGCACTGCTGGTTCTGCACCGGTCGCCGGCCGGCCCTTCTCTCACCCATACACAAAAACAAACAAAAAAATTGTCAACATTGAGCCCCGAAGCCAGTTTCACTTCGCATCATGACATTGGGTCGGCATGTCTATCATGAGCAGATCAACGAATAGATCAGGCCCGCAAGACGCAGGAATTCTACCGCTTTCGTTTGAAGTGGCCGTTTTAGCCCAGCTGCGCCCTTTCGATTTTGCGGAGGAAAATGTCGTCCCCCATAAGGCAGTTTAAATGAGCCTGATGGAATTTTTCATCTCTCGCAAATCAAGTCTCAAGAAGCCATGACCAGCCCACAAGGCCGTTTTGCTTTGAGGCGGCCATTTTGGAGACAATTAGACAAACTTAAATTGCAAAGGCTTTTACGCTTTTGTGCTTTCTCGACTGGGTAAACGTGAAAGCAAACGGATGCGCAAAACTGAGCATCCCATCAAAAATCAATCCGTGAATTTTGATCTCTGCTTCTCACCCTCTGTGCCTGAAGCGAATCAACATTCCGCGCACTCCTCTGTCGCGCTCACCCGTGGAAGCTTCTGTCGCTGGAGAAGTGGCGCCACACTGGCGGGGCGAGGTGTGTGACCACCCTCCCCCACCCATGAGGCGCCATAATGACACTTGGATGAGCTTTATCTCAACCGATGTCATTACGCCAAGTAGATATCAGGGCGGCGCATCTGGACTCTCATCAGTCACCTTTGGAAATTGACGGGGCAGAGCCCCGGCTTTGCCTTCGTGAGAACGCCGTCAGCTTGAGCCGTCTGTCCCCCCGCCCCGCAGACCGCTCCGATGATCTCTTCGAGTGTCGGCGGCTGGCTGCGCCTCCGTGCTGTGGACAAAACCAAAAATAAACAGCGCACTCCTCTGTCGCGCTCACCCGTGGAAGCTTCTGTCGCTGGAGAAGTGGCGCCACACTGGCGGGGCGAGGTGTGTGACCACCCTCCCCCACCCCATGAGGCGCCATAATGACACTTGGATGAGCTTTATCTCAACCGATGTCATTACGCCAAGTAGATATCAGGGCGGCGCATCTGGACTCTCATCAGTCACCTTTGGAAATTGACGGGGCAGAGCCCCGGCTTTGCCTTCGTGAGAACGCCGTCAGCTTGAGCCGTCTGTCCCCCCGCCCCGCAGACCGCTCCGATGATCTCTTCGAGTGTCGGCGGCTGGCTGCGCCTCCGTGCTGTGGACAAAACCAAAAATAAACACGTGCATCGCCCAATCCGCCGGCAAAGGGCAGCCGCATGACTGAGGCTCCACACGAAAGGTTAATGCAGCAAATAAATATTTAGAAACCACCCCCGGGCCGCCTTCCGATCGCACCGCGCTGGATTATGCCTCCTCTTCGCTTTGTCTTGTCCCAGCGGGGCCGTGGATGTTTGCAAACAAGTCGCATCTAATTAGCCCTCTTGTTCGGAGGGATCGATTCACGAAGGTTCAGCGGCACTTCATCCTCACGTTATCGTGCATCGGAAGCACAAATATGTCGAGTCGAGACGTCGAGGGAAGACTTGCTGATAGCCGACCTTTTGTCCCACCGCCAGTTGTGCTGAAAACGGTGTCAGGGAAACTGCGCCAATGGCCCCTTGCACCTGATTTTTTCGGGGGTCGGTTAATCCACAAAAGGATCATTGATTTTATTTATTTATTTTTCTCAAGTTAGGATCGTCCGTGCGTTGTCGAGGACAGGGGTGTCAAACTCATTTGACATTGTGGGCCGCATACGGCCTCGGTAGATGTCAAGTGGGCCGGACCATTAAAGTTGTACCATGCTCTGCCAATCTCTTTCCTTTGTTTTGGGGATAGTGACACACAAGAACATGAGGAAAATGTCGACATTTAATGAACATATCTTTTACAAAGCATTTCATGAAGCACCTTAGATTTCCTGAGACAAATGTGCAATTTACTTTGATCGTTCGTTTTTTGGATTGGTGCGTTATTCACTGGAAAATAAAATTTGGTTTTGTGTTGAAAAAAAATCTGCCTGAAATGCATTTCTGCACCATAAGCGGTGTTGTTTTTTTTTTTTTTTTTCCTTTGCACCTTTTGTTCCAAGTCGCTTTTGCATGCCGCCGCAACGAAGAAAGTCATGCAGAGCTCATAAATTGTGCATTTTCCTCCCATTATTTTGAGACCGCCATGTTGTTTTGAGGCCGATTGCTGGCGCTCGGGCCCGCGCGGAATCACTCTAGTCATTCCATCGGATGATTCACAGCACCTCATATTTTAGTCATGAGATTACTTTGGTCCCCGATTTCCCCTCCCCCTCCCCAGCCAAGCGGCATAAATACAGAGACTTCCGAATCAGCAGCTTTATCGTTTTTCATCAACCCAGGCGGAATTGACGTGATCTGATACTCCAGTAAAAGTCACAAGTCAACCAAAGCTCGAGTTTTTTTTATTTTTTATCAACTCAAAATGATCCCGATGCCATTTTTTCTTGATTTTCCATCATCCCTCCGGGGATTATTGCTCCGTGTCACCCTATCGATTATGATCGAAGGCCAAGGTATCAAGAATTTCATGCTGGGCCGATAGTGGCCCTAATTGATTCGTTCTGGAAGATTGTTTTAGACGTTTGAAGTGCTCATTCCATGTTTCCCTATTTTTTATTTTATTTTCTGTTGTTTTTGAAAATTCCCATAAAATAGCAGCCATTTGCCACATTGTTCATACCTCCGCCCACTTTTTAAAGTAAATGAAAAAATGACAAATAATTTGCTGGCCTGCGACACTGGTTAGGGTCAGGAAATTTTTGACCGCGGTATAAGCGGCTTCACAACCTGGCACTGTCGTCGACATTTCTAATCATCTGAATGTGCCAAACCGCATCGGCTTTGTGAATGCGCACAAGTTGTTTCCGAAAGGCACGGACTAAAAACTCGACATCCTCTGTCTCGCATCAAGCCAGGAAAAAAACCAAACAAAAGCCTCAGCCGCAGCATAACCTTGTAGCACTCGACAATTTATCACACACACTCCATCTTTCAAGCGTTGTTCAAGGTTCCGCATGTTTTACCAATGCAACCTTCTGCATCGTCATGACGTGTGTGTGTGTGTGTGTGTGTGTGTGTCTGTGTGTGTGTGCGTGTGTGTGTGTGTGTGTGTGTGTGTGTGTGTGTGTGTGTGTGTGTGTGTGTTAGTGGCGCAGGGTATAACACTCAGCAAGACAATAAGGAAAACGCTTTGGCTTGCCGTCCCGTTGATCTCGCCGGCCGCTGTTTGTTGCAGGAAACCCGAGGATCTGTCCAGAGAGGTGATTCAGATCCATCAGAGGGAAATTGTCCTGAAAGAACAGAACTACGCACTCAACAGCCGGTAACCACCGCAATTCCTCTCAACCATCTCGGACAACTCCCTAATTGTCACCAAGTTAATTAAACTGCTCCCCTGTTCTGATTGCACAGCTAACGGCAGCGCACGTGCGCCGGGAAAAGAGATGAGAAACGAAGAGAAAGTGGGCCTAATTAACGGCGTCCTCTTTAGGCCGAGGTGAACGTCTGCGGGGAGGGCCGCGTGGGCTTGCTTCCTCCGAAAGCTTTCATTAGCTAACAAGCGTCTCCGCTGCCCGGCGTATGGGCCTCATTACGGAATATTAGAAACAGAAGAATGGGTGACGGCAGAGAGGAGAGGAGAGGAGAGGGGAGGGAAGGGACGCCATGTAATTATGTGAGAGCCCCCCGCAACCCTGTATAATTACCATCCTATTGATCAGCCCTGACAGCAGTGCAGCATATCATCTCTGAGAGGATTTGACGAGCAGCGTTCTTTTGGGCTTGTGTTATTGATCCACAATGTGTTGTTTTTGTTTTGTTTTTTTCGGGGGGGGGGTGAGAGCACAGGCAACATCGGTTTCCTCGTCTGTTTATCTTGTCAAAGCGAAGGCGAGATATGTTACTTGGTTTGTTATCTCGTCATGATACTGTATGTTGCCTCGCTCATATTGACGAGGGCAATGCACAGGCGAGATACGTTACTTCGATTGTTCTACCTTTAAAGTGACAGTCGGCTATCTTGCTTTATTTGTTGTATTGACAAAGCGAAGGAAAGATTGGTGGCTTAAAAAAAAAACCCAAAACTACCGTATTTTCCGCACTCTAAGGCGCACGGAAAAGTCTTCCATTTTCTTAAAAGCTCGCAGCGCGCCTTAAAATCCGGTGCGCCTTGTGTATGGTCATTACAATAAAATGTCGACCCCAAAGTGCCTTCTCTTCTTCCGTTCGACTCGAGAGGCGTTCATGACCGCCTCGGAAAAACGTAAATTAACAATTCCTTCAATGAAACTCCGAAAATGGAAAATACAATACAATACATCCTGATTTATATAGCGCTTTCACAACAGCTGTCATGCATCAAAACAGAAAATCAAGCGAGAAAATCACAAAATAAATTCTATAGCCCCCCGACAGAATTTATTTTGTGATTTCCTCGTTTGTGAATACACAACAAAGGAATAAATAAACACTTCTGAGACAGTCCAGTCCCCTACATTTTACTGACATCTGATTGCTCTGTTGGAGCTACGCTCAAGGAAATGCCAAAATCAATTCTGTAGGGGGGTTTAGAATTTATTTTGTGATTTCCTCGATTGATTTTCTGTTTTGATGCATTATTTAAAATTTTCGGAGTTTCATTGAAGGAATCGTTATTTTACAGTTTTCGGAGGCGGTCATGAACGGCTCTCGAGTCGAGCGGAAGGAGCGTAGCTCCATCTAGTGGACGCATTGTAGATTGCATCTTATAATCCAGTGCGTCCAATATCTGAAAAAAATTACAAAATAGGCCATTCATTGAATGTGCGCCTCATAATCCAGTGCACCTTGTAGTGCGGAAAATACGGTAGTGCCAAAATGAAAGCAAAGGTGTGACGTAGTTATTTATCTTGTCAAAGTGAACGCAAGATATCTTGCATTTTTTGCGTTGACAAAGCAAAGGCAACGACAAATATGTTACCTCCATGAGTAGATTGCTCAAGCAAAGATAAGAGATATTGCTTTTTTATATTGCTGAAGACACTGGCCAAAAAAATAGCATCATTGGGAGAGTTCCCAGGCGAAAACCACTGCCGTCCTCTCACATTTGCCTAAAAGACATCTCGGTGATCCTCAAGACTTTTGGAAAAACATTCTGTGGACTGATGAGTCAAAAATGGAACTTTTTGGACGATGTGAGGCCCAGCGTCTGTGGTGGCAGTGTGATGGTTGTGGCTGCTTTGCTACCTCAGGACCAGGACAACTTGCTGTGATTGATGGGACAGTGAATTCTGCTGTCTGCCAGAAAATACCTGTAGGAGAACATTCGATCCAATGTGACCTTACACGGGCACTTCATGCTCGAAAACCCTCCAATATGGCCAAGTTGAAGCAATTCTGCAAAGAAGAGTGGGCCAAAATTCTTCCGCAGCGACGTGAAAGACTCGCAAATGCTTGATTTCAGTTACAGCTGCCAAGGGTAACACACCCCATGATTAGGTTCAGGGCGCGCAATTACTTTTTCCACATAGGGCAGGGCATAGGGCATCCTCAGGTTGTCTCTGTGCGATATTAAAATTGGTTTGATGAAGAGAAATCTTTTGTGTGTGATAATTATGCAAAGAACACAGAAATCAGAAGAGGGCAAATACTTTTTCACGGCACTGTATAAATAACGTCCCTCCTCACTCCCCCGCCAAACAGCATCCGGAGCGTGGAGCGCTCGCTTTCCGAGCTGGAGACGGAGCTGCTGCAGCAGCGCAGCAAAACGCTGGAGGAGCAGAAGAAGCGGGAGACGCAATCTCTGCTCCTGTGCCGGCTGCAGAAGAGGCTTTTGCTACTCACCAAGGTGTGACACACGCGTACACAAACCCCGAGCCACATACAAGCGCATGCGCAGGGAATCGTTTCCTTGCCCCGTAATTGGCTAATGGCAGATGTTATGATGTACTTGAATGTAAGGGCCTACAAGATTGTACTCAACCCAACTTTTTACACTTCCCAAAAAAACGTAGCTCCTCTAGTGATCAAGACCCACTTAAAAATGCAGCATATTTGACCTGTGATTAGAAAAAAAAAACCCCCAGAACAAGACCATCATTTTATGAATTAAAATAAACGTTTCTCATTAGACACTGACATAAATTGACATGTCGACTTTTTTTCCCCCCACCAAACAAAAACAACGTCTCTAACTTATTCCATTCGTTCGTAATCGACAGTAGAACATGGATTGGCTTCATCAAAAGCACCCGTATCTGACCAAAACGCAGAGAAAACAAACTTTTTGTGAAAAGCGGGACAGTGACTTTTGACGCGAATATTAAACAACAAAAACAAGACACAGAAAGGGCTTTCCAAATCGTTATGAGATGGACTTAAACGATGTCATGATCTGTCAAGCAATGGAGGTACTTGTTGCTGAAAACATCTTGTCCATTGTTTACCGACAAACATTTAATGGTGCATGACGGAGTATTTCATGTTTATAAATTCAACTTGCTTTTCAACAAGTTCATGGAAGAGTATCTCATAATTTTTTTATTGGTTGTTCGGCTACACACTTGATTTCATCCGTTGCAAATGAAATGATCATCGCAAAGTGGACTTTTTGATGCAAAGTAAGCCTGCTCACGGCCTTCGCCTTGCCGCCCTTGTGGCAGCCGTATGAGCTGCAGGCACTGTTTTAAAAAGGCCATAAAAATGCTAATGCTGTTTTTTTTTTTTTTCTTTATCATCTCGTCCTCCCATTCCCTTTTGTTTATTTTTCAAATTAAAAGCCTTTTAGTCTTTATCTGACAGATTTTTGATTTAGATGAAACGCGCGTGAATAGACGGCAAATCGCCAACAGGGCTCGGCTGTTGAAGCCGACCTCCAAACGTCCCTTTTGTGCCACATCGTTGTCTCGCTCACCCCCCCCCTTTTTTTTCTCTCTGCGGTTTGTTACGCGACCTTACCACCTTCAAATCAGCCACGCCCTATTTCGCTGCTGGGCCTTGATTACAGTGATCATTTTTTGGGGGCGGTATGGGGGGGGGGGCGTGTTTGACATGACGAGGCCGCCAGCTTCTCCCTCTCAAGCAATTTCAGCCCCATTGAGCATTGATCTTGGCGGTCACACGGCGCTTTGTGAGGACACGCGCTCGGTGCTAAACAGAATTGACTTGACTCGCTCAACACTCAATCAAAGCTACAATGTTCTCACATTTATTAAATGACAGTAGGGCAGCGTTTCAAAATAAGCGCCGGTATTTTCACGACCAAAAGGGGCATTAAAAGTCTTCAATTTTCTCCAAAATGGACGGGGCGCCTAATAATTGTAGTTTTGTAATTGTGGAGTTCCAAAAATGTGAGAATGCAGTTGTGTGACTTGGACGAGGGGTCCGCTTGACTGACCTCTGGTGCCGCGGGTCCTGCGGCGGGCACGTCGGTATAAACGAATCTGATGTTAAGTGCCGCTCGTCTGCGCTAGCACCGCAGAACCACTTAGCTTTTGGTTTTGACGTGATGTGTTTCTGTGCGCTCAAGCTGTCCTTTGCCAACGACGGATCGACGCCTTCTCCGAGCGGTGAAGTGCAGTTTGTGCCGCTTATCCGAAGCTCAACTGTGCTCGCTCCCGGATCCGACACCAATGAATGCAGTTGCGATGACCTTTTAGGTTTGACTTTTTCAGACAGTGCAGACTGTCCACTCGGATTTCTTTCTTTACTTTAGTGCAAGTAAATAAATTCCACTTAGCCTCCAACTTTTCACGAGGTCAAATTTAATCCCCCCCGCCCCCAAATATCCCGTCGTATTATCCCTCAAACTGCCAAATACGTCAGTCACGCAAATACATCTCGCCTCCAGCCTGTTCATTTGATGTCCGTGGATCACGCTGGCAGTGGCGAGCTATTTGGAGGCGCGACGTTACACTGAGTGACCCTTGTGAAGACGCCGACTTGAGGAGGATTGCCTCGGAGATGTGGCTGACAGTGATCATTTGCTAGCGGAAAACCCATCGAAACCATACAGCTGGTCGGAGCGCGACTTAACACGACAGATTTCGTTCATGCGTATGCAAACAGCGAGTATCGACACCTCTGAATCATCATTGTTCAAATCACCCCCGCTGGCTTTCGGCGTGATCTTTCTCTGCCCGCGTTTGTGCTTCCGCCTGTCAGGGCTCTGACGTGCGACTCGCACGGCGTGTCAAACAAAAGGGAATGAGAGGAGCCTCTTTCATTGCCGGCGATTGAAGTCGGCCGTGGCCACTCCCACAGCGGCGCTGACATCCCAAAGTCAAGGCAGAAGTTTGTCTCATTTTGGTGAAACACAAAACATAATCACCAAGAACTTCAGAGATATGGACAGTACTGCCGAGAGGCTGAAATGAGACGATTGGAACCACTTGAAGTTTTACAATGGCTTGAAACGATTAATCGATGACTCAAATTGTTCTTGATTTGTTTGATAATCGATGAGTTGTTGATGAATCAATTTATTTGGACACCTCTAATGCAGACGCATGCAGCTACGCATGAAAATCGTGCAAATGCCTGAGAAATAACGGAGACAAGCGTCGCTCCCGGGCACCTCTCGTCAGTCTCCTGTTCCTCATTTACAAAAAGAAAAGGGGGGGGGGGGGGGGGAAA